ACAGAACTTCAGGGAAGACACAAAGTTATTGACATGCAATGGTGGTATATAGCTGTATGAAAGAAAAAGAGATAAAAGCAGAGGAGAGGAGCCCATTGCATCATGGGAATGATTGGTTTCATTTGGTTTTACAGATAAATATAACTGGGCGTCGTCTGCAGAACAAAGGACATTTATGTAGTATTTCCTAATAATATTGCCTAAGGAGATCATGTGCAAAGTAAATAGTAATGGTCCTAACACAGAACCCTGTGCAACTCCATAACTAACTCTGGTGTGGATAAAATAGTCATTATTTACAAACAAACTGGAATCTGTCTGATAAAGATGATTTAAACCAGTTTAGTGGAGTTCCTTTAATCCCAGTGACATGTTCCATTATCTGTAATGAGATTCTGTGATCCACTGTATCAATTGCAGCATTGACATCCAGTGGAAGAAGAAACAAGTACTATGATGCATTCTAAATTTTGACTGAAGCTCTTCGAACAAACCATTTCAGTGCAGATGGTCACATAATTGGCTTGCAACAATGTTTTCAAGAATTTTAGAAATGAAAGGGAGGTTGGATATGGGTTGGATACAGTTGGCTAAAACATCTCAACTCAAGGATTCAAGGCCTTTATTGGTCACAAACACAGTAACACATGGTATAACACAGTGAAATGTGTTGTGCACCTCGAAACAATTATAAAAAGATGAATAGCAATAAAGAATTAAACACACAAGAAATATATATAAGTGTAGCCCTGTGATAGACTGGTGACCTGTCCAGGGTGTCCCCTGCCTAAATGTATAGATAATGGATGGATGGATATATGAAATGAAAATGAAATGAAATGAAATGAAAAATACTTTTGTAAAAGCTCACTTTTTTTTTTTTAAATCAATATAACATATATTATATACAACAATAATAATCAATATACATATCTATAGATAGAGAGAGAGAGAGAGCTTTATCATAGCAACTTTAAAAGCGTGCGATACGTAGCCTGTTAATAAAGAGAGGCATGACATGACATGTTCTGGATTTTTTGCCTAATATTCTAAACTTTTCTTTCTAAGAAGGCCATTAGTACTGAGAGCTAAATGAACACAAGGCTTCACAGAACTGTGACTCTGTCAGCCTGGCTACAGTGCTGAAGAGAAACCTGGGGTTGTTTTTTCTGAGATGACAATAAGCAGTTCTTGTCCTACAAATCACTTTTTTATCTNATACAGTCTATGGGAAAAAAGCAGGAACAACCAAAAACACAGTAAACACAATCCATAACCCTCACATGAAATGATTAAAAGATTGCTTTTACTCATTCTTTAAAGCTCAAATTACAGTGCTGTGCAAATGGATCATGGTCGATAAGATCATCCAGTAAAAGAGAGGATGCTGAATGTCACCCAGAAGCAAGTATCAACATAACTCATGAGCCCCTGATCACAGCAGTCAAAGTAAACTTGTCAGTCATATTATTACTTAAAGGAAGCAAGAAAGGTCAGCATGGTGTGAGTCTCTACAAATGGATAAGATTGCCATAGAAAGGACTGACACTCAGTGCATTACAGAATCATACAAATTGAAGTAACATCAACCTTGAACTGCATAAATAGGTTTACTTGTAAATGCATTTGACTGTACACAAGCTGTTTTTACTTACAAGGAGGTCAGAGGTCAGACTCAGCTGCAGAACAGCAACACTGGAGTCAGTAGAGGTTCAGTGTTGTGCTGAGGGACTGCTCAGCAAGGTGGATGCTTGCTAAGGGCTGCTCAAAGAGGATATATCTGGTATAAATAGCGGCAGCAGCCATATTGCATGCTCTCTAGAGCAGGCACCGCACATAAAGAAGCATATTTTTCATTCCAGTAGTAATCTACCACCATGTAAAATGAATAAGTCATAAAGTGACAAAGTCTCTCGAGAAGCAGAGAAAATTCCCAGGTGTCATACATTCCTATTGCTAATGGATTTGCTCTGTCACGTGTTTCTTTAGTATCACTTACAGTACAGTATGCTTTATTCTTTTAGTCAGTTACATAAGAAATGGCAACTTACTTGCAGACAGCATGGGGATAAAGGCACTTTTCTTCCCAAAATCTGTTGCAGCAGTCAGGTGACAAAATATTCAGAATAGGGTTTTTCCCGCTGTGTGCACATATTCTCTCGTTGTAAAGTCTGGCACTGAGAGCCAAACAGAAGATATGCAAATGGTAAAGCTGCCGATCGTCATCTGCTGATACCGGTTTCGTCTCTGTGTCTGTCACCAGCCGCAGGAAGAATCATTTCAGTTGATTGCTATACTGTGTCAGATGTCGTCATTAAGCCAAATCAAGAGACGCAGATGAGAAAAACCAATAGGGAGCAAAAAGGAGAAAAAGGAAAGGAATGGGAGAGAAATTGCAAACGTACAACAGAGTACTGGAGAGGAGGGAGGGAGAACAAGGTGCGTGTGATCAGGAGGAAGAAAAAAAGCAATTCTGAAAAGTTCATTGAGTCAGGTTTTTATGGCGAGTGGAGCTGTGTTGGTCTTGACAGCAGAGGATCAAAGAGAGCTATGTGTCATGGGGGCAGACAGCGCCTTTTCAAGGCCTGTCAGCCTGGTAGCATTTTAAGTCATAGTTATTTAACTTGCTTGGACAGACACAGCACTAAAGCAGAAGGGAGGAACAGACAGCACGAGCACGACTGGCATGCGGAGTGAATGGCACTGAATTACAGTAGGCAGTGACGATTTATGCTGCCATTTTTGGGCTGTCAAAGGTACAGAGGAGCCTGCTTTCACTCAATCACAAATGGATTTTGTTTTCTTTTTTTGTAGTTTGTTATAATGTTTCTAAGTGTATAAGATCAGCTAATAGCAGCTAAGGGATACAAACAGAGTCAGAATTGCTTATTGTAGTTTAGTCAGTTTTTACCTAAAGAGTGAATTACAAAGACATATACAGTTCAAGAAAACTAACTTTGAATTCTGGCCAGGGCACTTACAAACTGACAAGATTCTGTTTTACCCGGTGGTGGCAAGAGTGTGAGGTTGCATTGTATTGTCTCATTTGTGTGGTCTTTGCAGTCGTGGGTGACTGAAAAAGCACTCAATTAATATTTGTTGTATGGCCTTGGTCTACAAGGTAGCAGAAACAAAATGCACCTGCAGGTTTTTGTTGTTGTTGTTTTTGTTGATCTTTAAAAAATATTTATTATCTAATGTTATAATACAGTTATTTGTTTGTGTAATAATTCAGTTCAATTAAATTATTTTTTTCTTTCTTTGTGTGTAGCACCAATTCATAACATATGTCATCTCACAACATTTGACATAGTAAGGTGAAGACCGTATTAATTTTAAACGGAGAACAGAGAGCCCAACATTTCAAAGTTCCCTTTGGATTCCCAATGAGCAAGCCAGTCGGCGACGGTGGGAAGGAACCTGTCTCTACCGATTGGGTGAGAGTGAAGATGAGGGGGGTGAGGGAGAACAATAAGCATTTTGTATGTTGGTAAGGTCAGCGACAGCAGATCAGAGGTGTGTAGCTTCAGATCCAGAGACAACAGCAGAGAGAACAAACACAGAACTTCAGGGAAGACACAAAGTTATTGACATGCAATGGTGGTATATAGCTGTATGAAAGAAAGAGAGATAAAAGCAGAGGAGAGGAGCCCAGTGCATCATGGGAATGATTGGTTTCATTTGGTTTTACAGATAAATATAACTGGGTGTCATCTGCAGAACAAAGGACATTTATGTAGTGTTTCCTAATAATATTGCCAGAGGAGATCATGTGCAAAGTAAATAGCAATGGTCCTAACATAGAACCCTGTGCAACTCCATCACTAAGTCTGGTGTGTATAAAATAATCATTATTTACAAACAAACTGGAATCTGTCTGATAAAATTGATGATTGAAATGATTTAAACCAGTTTAGTGGAGTTCCTTTAATCCCAGTGACATGCTCCATTATCTGTAATAAGATTCTGTGATCCACTGTATCAATTGCAGCACTGACATCCAGTAGAAGAAGAAACAAGTACTATGATGCATTCTAAATCTTGACTGAAGCTCTTCAAACAAACCATTTCAGTGCAGATGGTCTCATAATTGGCTTGTAACAATGTTTTCAAGAATTTTAGAAATGAAAGGGAGGTTGGATATGGGTTGGATATAGTTGGCTAAAACATCTCAATTCAAGGATTCAAGGCCTTTATTGGTCACAAACACAGTAACACATGGTATAACACAGTGAAATGCGTTGTGCACATCGAAACAATTATAAAAAGATGAATAGCAATAAAGAATTAAACACACAAGAAATATATATAAGTGTGGCCCTGTGATAGACTGGTGACCTGTCCAGGGTGTCCCCTGCCTTCGCCCTAAATCAGCTGGGATATACGCCAGCCCCCCGCGACCCTAGTGAGGATTAGGCGGTGTATAGATAATGGATGGATATATATATATATATATATATATATATATATATATATATATAGAGAGAGAGAGAGAGAGCTTTATCATAGCAACTTTAAAAGCGTGCGATACGTAGCCTGTTAATAAAGAGGCATGACATGACATGTTATGGATTTTTTTCCTAATATTCTAAACTTTTCTTTCTAAGAAGGTCATCAGTGGTGAGAGCTAAATGAACACAAGGCTTCACAGAACTGTGACTCTTTGTCAGCCTGGCTACAGTGCTGAAGAGAAACCTGGGGTTGTTTTTTCTGAGATGACAATAAGCAGTTCTTGTCCTACAAATCACTTTTTTATCTGTGATAAAACTGTCTTTCCAGGCTGGATGAAATTCCTCTGAACTAGTGGAACACCACTGCCTTTCCAGTCTTCTTGAAGTCTGCTTTAAGACAGCAATTGGTCATTGTTATTCATCATATTGTTCTGATGAAGTGGTATCATTTTGAATTAGGTTGTTATGAATAGTACCTCGTCTGTTAATTTTAGACGTAAATATTCTCGGTGGTCGGGGGGCAGACACAGTCTCTATGGTATGTTAGGAGGGTGACAGTCATAGAGAAGCAACAGAG